CAAAAGCTTTTGGTTGTTCTCTCTGATCTTTTCTTAATATTAAAAGAATTGAATCATTGCTTCAAAAACATTTGTTTAGGTACTACACCGCTTGATCACAAGTCTTTTATCGCCATCTGTGCGCAAGGATGCTCTCTTAGCATGGGTTCCATGCAGCGTATCGGTAGCAATGGAAGTCGACACAAAACTTGCTCCCACACCAGCACCAGGGACTTCTTCCGTCAAGTATCTGTTATTTGGAGTTTGCATCTCCATCAGTTACTATTTTCTTTTAGATCACCGCGCCCAGCTCGTAAATCTGCAACTGCATCAGCAGAGGCTGAGCTCTATGTCCATCTTCTTGTGCTGCTATATTTAGTAGATCAGAACAAGCTAGATGACGCAAAGAAATGCGCTGAAATGTTGATTGTTCGTGGTAAGTTGTTTTTACCCTTGCTTCTGAATACGCAAAATCACTAAATTTCAGCTGATGCGCTAGACAAAAGATCTCTTGATCCTCTTGTAGCTAAGGGTATCTTCTATCTGGCGCTGATTTACGAAAGACAGCACAAGTTGCACGAGCTTGGATGGTAAATTTCATATCTTCTCAGTTTCGAGAAATCGCAGTTTCTTACTTTATCTTCAATAGTTTCCTAAACTCCCGCCTTCGCACTGCAACTTTACGACGCCAAAGGGAATCACAAGCAGTTCTAATATACACTCTTCTTCGTTGTTATCTGATTAATAAGCAATTCCAGTCTGCTGCCAAGCTCGTTTCCAAGGTAAGCGTTTTCCTATGTATCAGCCTATTTTTAGATTTTGAATAGTGATTTACAGGTCACTTTTCCTGAGGGAGCTAACAACAACGATTTGGCCCGTTTCTTATACTATCAAGGCCGCATAAAAGCTCTCCAACTTGACTATATTGCTGCAGCTGGCTATTTCCTACAGGTAACGCATAGGTGCAACTATCTTGGATTGGTAACCTTATCCTTCTTGTCCAGGCTATGCGAAAAGCCCCACAGGAGGCTGCTATAGGATTCAAGCAAAATGTGCAGAAATGGATTATCGTGATTGGGCTGCTCCAGGGAGAGATACCTGAGCGCTCGATTTTCCGTCAACCAATATACCGAAAATGTCTTCATCCATACTTAGAGCTCACTCAAGGTAATCTTTGGAATAACAATGCTTCACTTGAATTCTCATAAGCTTTCTCATATAATTTTGTTTGGATTCACGCATCTTTCTTCAGCCGTTCGCTTGGGAGACCTTGCAAAGTTTAACGCTGTGGTCAAGCATCATGGACCAGAGGTATGTATTACAGTGCCTGTCTTCAACTATACAAATTTATGACCATAAGATCTTTATTCATCAATCATTTCATGATGTGTGATAGAAGTATCTGTTAATAAGAATTATATCAAATTCCATTCAGTTTGAACGTGATGAGACTCTCACTTTGATAGTCCGACTCCGACAGAACGTCATCAAGACGGCTGTGAAACAGATCTCATTGGCTTACTCGAGGATTACTATAAAAGTGAGTTTAGTAAAGATTTATCCGTAGTTCCGGATTCATCTACATTCCTCTTTGCAGGACATCGCCAAGAAACTGGGAATGAGCAATGAAGTAGAAACCGAATATTTGGTAAGTGCG